TCCTGTGGTGGTGTTCGGCCACCGTACTGATACAGGGACATGAAATCGTAGAACAGCCATACGGACCGAGTAGACGTGATGGTGGGACACCTCTGGATGATCTGGTCCAGTTGAAACCCATGCGGATCTGGATGCTCCATGCTCTCCCAAGCGTGAGAGATGGACTCAATCACCACAGTCACCCTGCGTGGTGAGGGATCCTTCACAAAGAGACTCATATTGCCAAGGGGATCAATCTCCAACTTCTGCAGCTCTGACGCTTGAACAAGTGCTGGAAGGCCAGCTGCTGTAAATTCACCTTCCGCTTCCTGCCTACGAAGGAACTTTCGGCCTGCAGCAACAAGCTCCTGTAAGTATTCCAGTCGCACCAGAGCGATGTTTGCATCCAGAAGAAATTGGATGAGCTGTTGTGGATCTTGCAAGTCGTACTTACCTTACAAATCAAAGAACGAATGGTGAACCCTCTCAGAATGAACGAGCAGTCTACAGGGGGTGTCCAAGCTATACTCAAGCTAACCAAGTGATGCATCATCTTTCAGGATGGAAACTGGTCCGAGATGGAGAGCCGGTACCAAGCGCTCAATGAGGAACAACATAAACAAAACACCTCCACACACCTTTTCCATTCCATAGCTCCTTGATTTCGTAAAGAGAGTGTCTTGTTGGAGACAAGGCTTAGTCTTCAAAGGCTCTCCTTTGTTATTTTTCTACAGCGTATCCATCCTCCAACAGTCCAACAAGCTCCAGCCAGGATTCTCTGTTGAGTCGGGCTCTCATTGTGCCCAAAGGCAGACGGGAACTTCGTTTCGACCTGACGTCACGACGTCGACGAGCATGACTTCAGCCATGCTTCCCATCACGAAATCCCACCTAACTCGTCAAACATGTATCTCAAAGCTGTGCCGTGGACTACCCATGCCAAATAGCATGCTTCTTTGTGTGCGTTCAACTTACAACTCAAACCCAAAGACTGTATGATTTTGCACCAACCTCGACCCCTGCCTCGTCCGCTGGAGTCACCAGCTCCTATAGACATGAATCATGTCAAAAAACGTCTTCTAAACTGTGAGGCGTTGCTGTTTCCAAGACAAGGTTCTGCTCTGACATCTGTTCCTCACTGTATACTCAACTTTCATCATTGTCAAGGATAAAACGAGTTGACTGCTCGTCCCTGCTCGTCCCTCGTCCGACCCGGCTGAACTCCTGCCGCTTCTGGCTCGAGCCTACGAGGTCAGCACTGGAGCCATGTGGAGCCGTGATGCTCTGCAAGAAACAAAAAATCAAGGACATGAATTCGTTTGGAACTCCAAAACCCACTGAAACGACAACGCCTGAGCTGGCAGGGTCCGCCGGCATTGCCACGCCAGGTGCCTCAAGTTGTGTGTTCACTTGCAAAATCTTGCAAAACAACATTGTGAAGGACGCCTCGAAGTTTCACTTTTAATATTCTGTCTCATCTCGGGATAGTGATTTGATCACGTGAATCCCTTTGCCTTTTTGGGATGCGAAATACTATGAAATATTTGAAGTCGGGACACCAACATATGCCAGCGTTTGGGACAGTCAAAGATGCTACAGTAAAGGATGTTCCTCTCCTATGATGCGGGCCCACATGATACATTCGGCATATTCCGCCACTTCCTGATGTTCATACCACCTGTTTTTCTGTCCACTGCTTCAGTTGCCTACCTACTTGTCTAGGTACGTTTTGACGGTCCGGTCCATGTAGAGAAAGACTTCAGTTGCCTACCTACTTGTCTAGGTACGTTTTGACGGTCCGGTCCATGTAGAGAAAGAGAACATCCAACAGGTCACTCTAAGCACAACCAAAGTAACACGAAAGAGCACTCACTGCTTTCCAAGTACGTGTTGGTGATCTCCCTTGTCTTGTTGTACCTGCAAAGCACCCCAAATAGGAACAAACGAAACTTTCATGACCTCAACGAGTTGTTTTGCCGGATCACTTGTTTGCAGCTTCAACAAAACCATTTCCAAGACAGCCAAACATTAAAATATAGATATTAAACAGAGCAACATAACGAACATAAGGAAGGACAAGCGCTACAATGCAGCTTTCACTTTGCAGTCGAGCCACAACTACAGCACTTAGAAAGCCGCCATAATCCACGTTCGCTTCACTGAGAGTCATCTCATCTCGCCTGGCAAAGAGAGCAGTCAGATCCAACATAGAGTACAAGCATCACATCTATTCATACAGTCTTCTCTTCTGGACGACAGGTGCCAAATGGTTTCAACAGTGACTTCAGAAGAACACACCTGTGTTGATGTACTTGTTCCAGGGAGGTATGTAGTGGAACTTGATTTTCAACATCAGTTGCAGTTGCTATAACATATATCGCGGAGGCGTAATTTGACTTTGCAAGACATGTTGGCTGTTAGCTGCGGGGCCACATGATTTCAAACATCCAAAGAGTGCCACATATTGCAAAACACATCAAAACACTATCTCGTTCTTGAAGAACCCCGTAGTGCCAGCTTTGTTCCCGAACAACACGGACCAAGAGCTAATCTTATTTCAGGGTTGTCAGGATGATCTTCTTGAAAATCGTTTTATGTAGTCAAGTAATGCTAATAAGTAGACATAATAATAAACAATAAATAGACAGGCTTCACGCAAGACGCTTCGCGAAATACTTCCGCGGTTCCGACACACCAGATTCGGGAGGCTTCGCGCATCCAGACGCTTCGCGAAATGCTTTCGCGTTTCGCTTTCGCGGTTCCCAGCTTTCGCGGTTCGCTTTCGCGGTTCGCTTTCGCGGTTCGCTTTCGCGGTTCCGACCACACAAATGTATTCGCAAACACTTGCTGAGTTACAGTCTTACATTTTATCATGCAATCAAAATTCAACATGGACACACATGCACTGCACACAGCACAGCGGGATGACTTTTCGCAGCTTGGCAATGCAATGTCTCTCGAAGGTCCAAGCCTGGCACCGGAGCCGCTCACCCAGTAGCGACACAGG